TCTCTGCAGCTCTAGTAACAACAGGTCGGTGAGCCAATCAGAAGAGAGGAGGCTCTGAGCCTCTCTTCTGATTGGCTGACTGTTTTCTGAGTTCTCTAATAAAAATACAGCAGATTTCAGGTAAAACACTCAGAGAAACCAAATCCTGCAAGGTTTGGATGGTGGGTCCAGGTGGGCGGGGCTTGGGGACTGCTTTGTTGTGACATCACAAAGTTCCAGAAGTCCTGACGGCTGGTTTTAAGGCTCAGTTTCTGAATACAGGCTGTGTGCATTTCTCTGTGGACTGAGGCTTTGATACTTTCACAGTATTAATATAGAAGCTAGACCTGATCTATAATCACACTACACATGGACACAGACCTTTACACTGGATGAGACCTTTAAACAAAGTTGCACAACAGTTACTTTATGATGTAACTAAAAAAACTACTGGTCCCATGAAAATTCAGTGCAGGTACTGAACTTGCGTCATCATGCACTGGTTTCCTTCATATCTATGACAAATAAAATCAGGTTATACATGTGTAAGTAGCTGCAGAGCTAGCTCTTTTATCTGTCATGCATACTGTATGCAGGTGTGGTTTAAAGTGGAAAATATCTGATGTTCTACTTGATGCTGTGATGTGAAACACCATGTTTGAACAAAGAGCACCTCTGTTCTTCTAAGCTCTCCTTAAGCTTTCATTGGAAGTACCTGCAGCTATAATAATAACAATACTTTACAACAAGTATGGTAAGTTTCAACGCTGCTTAGCATTTTCAATTTGTTTTCAGGTTGAGCTCCCTCCTTCCAGGAAACCTATACAAGCTCAACTTGCAGAACCTGAACATCATGCAGGTATCTCTTTGTGACTTACAGATCCAGGCCTGTTAAACTATCGTGCAGCAGAGTGAAATGTCCGATGCTTTCATGGCGAGCACACAGTCAGAACAAGACCAACGTGACTCAGTGACCTCCGGTAGGTGTTGGCTGATATTTACATGACAGATGGCATATGTGCAAAAATCTGTTATTTTGGCATCCGGCCTTCGGTCCTCCATCAGGACTCCGGCTTGATTTCCTGAACATCAAACCCAGGACCTGCTTCTTGCTCTCCTGGCATCTCTGAATGTGCTCGCTGTTCTCGTCTCTCCATCCTCTCCATCCTCCAGCTTCATTTACTCCTCAGTTCAAACTGCTTTCTTTGGGCATAAATTCCCTCATGTTCCAGGAGGAACCGGTGTGAAATGAGCCCCTTGGTTGCTGAGGTTGTCGAGGTCATACAGAAATACACTGAACCACGCTCCAGTGATAAAAAAAAAAACTGGCGTTGCTTCAGTCCTCGCATGAACTCACAGATAGGAGATCATAAGTTTTGAGCTTTCGTCAGCTGTGCAGAGTTACACATGCAAACGTTCCTGTCTTGCATCTCAAGGCCTCTTGACCTTTGCCCCGCGTCATCGTCTGGTTCAGGGATGCTGCGGAGAGGCCGGAGAACCGTCGGAGGAACTTCAGACGCTGTCATCTGTGGCTCAAATTCAAACCAGTTTTCCAACAGAGACACTGGAAATTAGACGTCTCTCTCTCTCTCTCTCTCTCTCTCTCTTTCTTTCTTGTATTTGTTGAACGAGTGGAGCCATTTCACAAGAACCACAGACATCAACAAACTCTTATCTTAATCGATGCCAGACCGGCCCGCGGCTCAAAGACCCTCTGGTTAAATAATTCACTTTGACACAAAGCCAAACGTTAGGCACGAACTCCAGTGGGTTTAAATCTGAGGCTGCTCCCTCCATCAACTGGAGCCTTCCAGGTGAACCCAGACCAAAGGAACTCAGGCTCCTTTATGCTGCACCACAATCAGACCATCTACAGTTTGAGGCTTGTTTCAGACCGTCCTCGCCTGAACAGTATTAGTCGATCGATCAGTTGGTGGATTGACAGAAAATGAGTCAAGGCCTTCCCATTTCTTTGACTTTTTGTCAGATAAATCAATCAAATCAATCTATTTGAAGACGTTCGTTAGTTGTAGCCCCACTTGTGGTAATGAAAGTAACCCTAACCCTATCTCTTTGGAAGGACAAGTGTAGACATCTAGATTTAAACAGAGGATTATCTGCAGTTAACAGAGCCGATAAGCTTCTATTTAATCAATAAAGGTGTCTACACTGGCCGTCTAATTGCTTGTGCTTCATTTGCGCTTCAAATGAAGGATTGTGACCCAGCAGCTTTACATACAACTCTGGACGAATCACACAACACTGCAAGATGTGAATGATGCCATAAACACACAGAAACAGCCGATTCTGAGTTAAAGCGCATCAATGGCTGGAAATCAACTGGAAATCATTGATGTGCAACAAGGCGGCGGACTGCATCTTGAAACAAATTGTTTTAGTTGCCTGAACTTCAGCAAACCAGAGGTGATGGATCAGTCATATGACCAGCAAGATAACAACATTCACAGCACATATAGATCAATATTATCAGTCACACTGTGATAACGCTGACATAAGTTGGAAACATGCAGTCTCTCATTTCAAGGTCTTTCAGACGCCTGTTCAGATCATTTGATGCTTGAATGAAGCTGAAATCTTTACAGAGGTGCACAAGCCCATGCGTCCTAATCAATGTTGCATACTGATAGGTTCTTATCAGCAAACACTGATCTATGATGGTATTCAGAGAGCTAGTGTAGCAGGAGAGAGATGTCACGCACTGATATCAGCTGTAAGTAGAGCTCACAGATTTCAAACTCTCAGGAATCAAACTACAAAGAGAAATGAGAAAATTAAATCGGGGACCAAGATGTGTTTGAGATGTAAAACATAATCAGAAACATTCCTATCATCTAATCATGTGTGCTCTGCTGCCTACCAGGCTTCAGATGGAAGCGGTTTCAGAGCAAACAGACACACCACTAACCAGCATTGCATCCATACATTCACTGCAGCGCCGCACTTTGAAAAATGATCCGTTCTCCGTAAAACGCAACAGTCAAATTATTTCCAAACCTACAGGGAGAAACTGGCAGGAACATAAAGAGAAGGAAAAGACTTTGATTCCAAACCGACATAACTGAGAGGGGAAAAGAAACGATGGGAACCAAATGAAAATGCTGCACAGTACTTCAAGAGTACTACCACCAAATACTTTGTTTGAATGTACACAAACTAATGCCTTTAACTTCAGATCAAAAATCGAGTAAGATATAGATCGACACCTCGAATGACAAGTCGACCAGTGACATCAAAACTTGGTGTTCGGATATTAACACTTGGCTGACGGGGTGATAAATAAACTAGGCTGAAAACAAATCCAGACTTCCGATTTTTGTCTGTGTGCTCTGTGACTGGATGTTTGGCTCGAGCAGCTGTTTATGGGACGCAGAGACACGGCAAACACCGAACCTCACTGAGACATTTGGCAGGAAGGCCTGTGATTGTGGCCTGAGGCTTCATCTCTGGTCAGAGGAAGCAGCAGTCTATACGGCTGAAGTCCTCGTGTCCAAACCCTGGGTGTCAGCTGATTTCCTCTCTGTGACCTCTGACCCCTCCGTGCCATGGAAACGAGCCAAGAGCTATTTATGTCTCTGAGGACAGCAGCGGTCGGGAGAAGAAATTCAAACATTTAAATTCATGCAAGATGCACTGAAAGTCATCCTGAAAAAAAAAAAAGAACCAATGTGGGTTCAATAAACACTGAAATAAAACATAAATATTAATAGAAAAACAATCAGGGCAGAAATTAATGAATTAAATTGTTATAAATTAATTCAACTACATTCTTGCGAGAGGCTGCAGAGTTCATTAGAGCGGCAGTATGAACGTTGGTCCTGATGGCGACACAACGGGAAAAGTTGTGAACTCGCTATAAATATTCAGGAAGCAGAAAATATCCACAGCTAATTTCAGGGACATCCAGTCATTGTTTCTCCAACCAAACAGTCGTCACAGTGCACAGCACAAGACCGAGCCTGTTTTGAATCTCTCAACAAATCAGAGGCGTGTGCAATGATTCAGAGAAACCAGGATACCTGGGTGTGCCGAAAGAAAGGTCATGAAGTCATTAAAATCCCCATCCAGGTCCCAAAGGTCCCATCCAGTGTAAAGGTCTGTGTCCATGTGTAGTGTGATTATAGATCAGGTCTAGCTTCTATATTAATACTGTGAAAGTATCAAAGCCTCAGTCCACAGAGAAATGCACACAGCCTGTATTCAGAAACTGAGCCTTAAAACCAGCCGTCAGGACTTCTGGAACTTTGTGATGTCACAACAAAGCAGTCACCAAGCCCCGCCCACCTGGACCCACCATCCAAACCTTGCAGGATTTGGTTTCTCTGAGTGTTTTTAACTGAAATCTGCTATATTTTTTATTGGATCACTCAGAAAACAGTCAGCCAATCAGAAGAGAGGCTCTGAGCATCTCCATCCATCGTGTTGTGGATCTCCAAGGACTCCTGAATACAAATCCACCAGCTGCCACATAAATGAGGATTTAGTTTCTTACAGTTTGAGGTTGCTCAGACTGTCATCTTGTTTGTATTGTGCTGTAACGCTCACAGACGGAGAGAACAGTGAAAAAGAAAAAAAAAGACTTATTTATATGGCAGCTGTTGCGGACGAGGAGCCGTTGAGCACATCACACTGTGCCCTCCATAAACTCAGTGAGCAGGAACAATATAAAAACAGTGAGAAGGTCAGAGGGAGTTGAAGAGACGAGCGGAAACATTTCACACGGATATCTCCACTGTAGGATTTATATTTTCTACTAATGGCGGCGCGAAAGGAAACGTCTGTACCAAACGCTACTCGTGATGAGATACATTACAGACAGACAGAGAGAGAGAAACCGCAGACTGAATGACATGAAAGGTTTCTGTAACATCTCTTCAGCTGCAGCAGCCATGAGAGAAAAAGTCAGTTACACCAATTTACTGTTAAAATTTTTAACATTTTTGTTTTCTTTTCTCCTTCTTCGTCTTCAGGATGATTGACAGCTGCTCCTCCTGAACCCCAGGATGCCTGCTGTGCCAGTGGGCGGGGCATCCTCCTCCCACCACGTCGTACCTGTGGCCCTCACCTGCTCCTGGCTGTTTCTGCTCTTCCACACGGCCTTCGGTCAGAAACCTGCCAGGCTGCCCCTGATCGGCCGGAAGCCCTTCATCGCGGCGTGGAACGCTCCGCTTGACATGTGCGCCATTAAGTACAAGGTCACCATCAACCTGGACCGTCTCTTCCACATCCACGGGAGCCCGCGTGCTGATTGGACAGGCCAGAACGTCACCATCTTCTACGCCAACCGGCTGGGCTACTACCCTCACTACAACCACCAGGGCGCTCCCGTGAATGGCGGCCTGCCGCAGAACAGCAGCCTGGACCTGCACCTGTTCAAGGCCTACCAGGACATCAACCACTTCATCCCTGCAGAGGACTTCCGCGGCCTGGCTGTCATCGACTGGGAGTTCTGGCGGCCTCAGTGGAATCGTAACTGGCACAAGAAGGACATCTACCGGCAAAAGTCGAAGGAACTGACTGCCAAGGCGTACGTGAACGTGACGGCGGCGCAGGTGGAGGAGCTGGCACGCCGGCGGTTTGAGAAAAGTGCCAAGGCGTTCATGCAGAGGACTATTCAGCTGGGGACGCGTCTTCGCCCCAATGCCCTCTGGGGTTTCTACCTCTACCCTGACTGCCACAACTACAACCTTCACGAGCAGAACTACACGGGCTTCTGCCCCCTGCTGGAGAGGCTGAGGAACGACGAGTTGCTGTGGCTGTGGAACAGCAGCACGGCGCTCTTTCCCTCCGTGGCGATCAGGAAAAGTCACACCAACAGCATCAGCAACCTGCACTTCTCCCAGCACAGGATCAGAGAGTCGCTCCGCGTCGCCTCGCTGACCTCCAAGGAGTACGACCTCCCCACCTACGTGTACATGAGGCTGGGATACCGAGACGAGCCCCTGTCCTTCCTCACCGCAGTAAGATACTAAGTTTATATTGTGTTCAGTATTTAGCACGTGATTTACATACTGAGCTCTAATTGGACGGCTCTCTCGTTGCCACTGCACTCGTGCTCCTCTGAACTCCTTTTACATAGTTACGTCGGAGCTAACAGCAATCACCTTCCCTTTCATGTCACTAAAATTTTAGTGTTTCGTGCTGTTTGATATGAGTTGTTCATTTCACAGTAATGAACCAGTAACTGCACTGATGCTGTCTGCACAAATACAGTATTTTTCACCTTGTCCTGTGAAAAATTTGACCTAGACCTTTGTCCCAGATGCACCATCAGTTAGTAGTGCTGGGAAATGATATTGTTACCTGCAATTGTGACCTCTAAATGTATCTCACTTTAAAGGGGTTTTTGTTTTTTTGAGTTGTTGTTGCACCTTTCAGGAACACAGAGGGTGTACAGCAGCAGGATGTGTTGATTCTTTGGTTCTTTGATGGAATAGAAGACAGGTAATGATTATGCAGTAACAGAAAACAGGGAAGACCTTAAGGGAAGACTAAATCCAGGAGGAGTTAGTAATGCAATGTCAAGTATGTCCGCTGCTGCACAACCTCAAAGAAGAAAGTTTTTGACTCAGAGTTCAAGGCTGTGGTTATTTCCTGAAAGTACACGCTGAAAATAGAGCAGCAGAAATTGTTGGTTCGTTTTTTGCCAGCACTATTAGTTATCCCTCACAAGTCTGTGGGATGTTACTGGCACCATGAGCAACAAAGCGCTGAAGACTGGTGAGCAATGGTGGGGAAATACTAGCTTTAGGTCGTAACCATCATAAACACTTCTGTGCAGGAAGGTGGAGGAAAGAAAACGACCATGATGACTGAGAGTTTATGAGACAATCAACATGACAAGTTGTTGTTATGTCTAAAACTGTAAAAACAATGAGTGGAAAACGTCCATAATCCCACCAAGGAAACTTGCCTGGTTGCTCAGGGCTCAGACCACATGACTGTTAGCTCCAGACCTGATCAGGGTTTCAGTTTCAGTGCTAAAGTTTGTGTTTCAGTTGTCATCACACAAACTATTTTATCAACAAAGAACTGCTGATACAACATTCAAAATCCTAAATGATTTACTCTTCTATTTGTGTCTACAAGTGAAATGTCAGAATGGGCTTTGACTGAAACCTTTAATTATAAACATTCGTCTCTGGATTCTTTGGAAACCAGTGACTCTGATGGTTTTGGTTAAAATCCTGAGGAGAAAGTCAAAACCTGTAATAACACAGAAAAATAAATAAATCAAATAACAATACCGAACTCCCAACCCTTCAGTCACTTCCCACTCATTTGAAATATTATAGGAAGCTTTTCATTCTGAGATGAGAATACTGTGGAGAAGCTTCGTAAACCGCAGCGTATACAAATATCTGCCATAATGATGCACTTCTCACTTTAACAGTGTCTGTTTGCAGCGACAGAGTTAATGTATGAATTTATTCACTACTGCCATCTTGTGGCGATCCACAGAAAAGCAGCTCAGAGTCGCAAATACAAACTTGGAGAGCAGTGGCTTCCTTGTTAAACTGAAACTTCATCACTGTCAGTGAAACAAGAGGGACTTTTTTTCTGGTCTGCAGATTGAGTGAGGACTCTTAGAAATAAGATTTAAGATATATGTGCGGATGTATTTTAGCCAACCTCAAAACTCAAAACATAGTGAAATATTAAGGTTCTTTTTCACCTTTTCACACTCTCGACCTGGATTAGCAGCGCCATCTTGTGGCTCTTTGCTCCACATGATTACTCTCACTTTTCACATCAAATATATTTACAAATTCATTGCATTGAATTAAAAAAATCTGCACTGTGTGCCATGTGATAGTAAAGATGCATTTTGAAGAGCAATTCTTTCTTGTTCTTGCACTGCTCACTTTCTAAAATCCTCAACAAATGTTTTTAACTTAGAGGTAAAGGTTCGTAAAGCAAATATCTGCCTCCTCCTTGAATGTTCACTGTGCTTCTGTCGTTTCAGTATGTTTGATATTTAATGTGTGTCACTGTGACCATGAGATGTGACGTCTGTACCTATATGTTTCCTGCAGAAAGACTTGATCCACACCATCGGGGAGAGCGCCGCTCTGGGAGCTGCTGGATTCGTCATCTGGGGCGACCTGAACTTGACCGCATCGAGGGTGGGTGTCCTATAATCAGGCACAAAAAAAAAAAAACTTTACTGTCTTACTTTCTGTAAAAACGATGTGCTGGCTGCACAGAACATTTGAATACAGATAGTATGTGTTGTTTTGGCTGAAGATCTGATGTCAAACTTCTGTTTTTGGGATGTAATTTGTGCTGTTGAGTCAGTCGAAGTCTGACTGTGTAGTTTGAAAAACTTTCCTTTCTCAAGGTTTTTGATTTGTTTTGGACTCAAGACAAACCACCCCTGTAAATAGTCAGACAATAGAAAGTTGACATCATGTGGTCGCTGCGTGTTGTGAAACCACTCTGACATTTTGAAAAGTATAGTGCGTGTTTTTATGGCCTGTTGTGTTCATCTAAACAGGATCTGACAGTCAGACCCACCAGGATCTTAGGGAGCGTCCGTGCATGGACCTAATTTAAAAAATCTGCTTTGCAATTTGCAATCTTTTATGCACGGCTGTCACCCCTCTCTTGTGCACCCAATCTCTCAAAACTCACTGTTTCAGATTAGTTTGGGTAATTAGTTATCTCCCAAACCTGATCCCAAACACTGGATCTGGGGCAACAGTTAAAGCTTCAATAACGTTGACCACTAGGAGGCAGAAAAACCCAGTGACATCACAAAGTGTTGAACTATTACTACACAGCTACCAACCTCCGCTTCTTACAAACCACCAAAGCACATCACATCATGACTGTCTTGTTTCCACAGCCTAACTGCACCAAGGTGAAGTCCTTCCTGAGCCACCGCCTGGGTCAGTACATCATCAACGTGACACGGGCCGCCGAGGTCTGCAGCGACTTCCTGTGCCAAGGGAACGGCCGCTGCATCCGCCGGGACCCCCGCGCCCGCCATTACCTCCACCTGAGCGCCAACAGCTACCGCATCCGGCCCGCTGGCAACGGGGACTTTGCCGTCACCGGGTGGCACTCTCAACACGAACTGCAGCTGCTGACCGAGAGGTTTCGCTGCCACTGCTACGAAGGCCACGAGGGCGATAGCTGCGACAGCATCAACAAAGTGAAGGAGGACGACGGGCCGTGGAGGGAGGGCGAGGAGGACGAGCAGGAGAGGAAGAGGACGGAGTGGGAGGATGAGCAGGATGAACGATGGGAAGCTGGGGAGAGTGCAGCACCCCGAACCGGCTTCAGCCTTCACATGATGTTGTTGATGCTCCTGTTGAACTTAGCGTTAGTAAAGACAGTCGTATGATGCACAGCTGTGTACAGATGTTACTTTTCCACACACAGTGTAATGTTTTTGAATTAAGATGGACGCAGACTTGAACCCTGGATGAACACTAACAGGTTAATGTTGAGGTATAATGTTTACCATGTTTACAATTATAATTTAGTATGTTAGCATGCTAATATTCGCTCATTAGCAATAAACAGTACAGCTGCGACTAGTAGCAATGTCAGTTTTGCAGCTATTTGGTCATGAATCACCTGATGATGGTGCTAGAGGAAAAGATAAGAGATCACCAAAGTTATGATGATTCAATCTTTCATGGCAGAAAATCAAAAAGATATTTCACTTAAAGCCAGAAACATGAACCCTAGACAAAACTAAACATGCTTCCTTGTTAAAGGTTCTGTAAACCACCATCACCGCCACTAGATGTCACACTAGACCACAACAAGGAGCTGAATAACTGAATAAAGTTACTCTGTGTAAAGCCAATAAAAAAAAAAATCTAGCCAACCACTATCCCACACACTGATATGCTCACTGCAGTGCTGACAGTTAGCCAGCTAGCGATAACAACATTTGCCCAACACATCATAGGGTTGTCCATCTCGGTAAAGCCAGACCAGTATTGGCTCTATGGTCAGACTGGGAAAGAAACTCAGCCTTGGACTTATCCACTGTGGCCGGCTGCGTGAATGACACTGATGGAGCAGGTAAAAAAGGTAAAAAGTCCAACTTTAAACTTTATGGGCCGCAAGCCTATGTGTTTATAAATGTGAGGAGGACCAATGGTTTAACACTGTTAGTGCATGTAACATGCACACGCACACGCTACCAAAACAAAGACCATGCAGAGAAAATTCGATTAAAAAACACACAGAGGGGGTGTGACTTCGTTCTCTACTCAGGACGCCATTACTCCACTATATCTTTACATAGAAAATAGTTATTTGCTGCTATATTGTTGTTTAAAATCTCGTTGACAGAACCTTTAAGAAGTGTGATTGGCACTTTACGTGACACAGAGGTTTGGCATGTCGACAGATGGAGGTTTTAGTTGATTGTCGTTCAGTTCAACCAGTTGAAGTGTATTTAACTTCTGCAACACTCTGCACGGCTTCTTTGGCCAACAACTGCATTAGTTCTTCCTGGAACGTTTTTGGAGACACATCAGTCAAGTCTTTCAGTGGAAACCAAAGGGCGGTAACACGACCAGACAGCCAGTAGGAAGATAATCAGTGAGATCTGACGCTTGGTTTGTTGGTTTGTGGTATTATTGAAAACATCATTAATGAATTACTGTTTGAAGCCCATTGCTTTTCTCAACAATAAGCTGTTATTTCACTTATCATATAAATTGTGTATTTTTTATACTGGTGCTTACATTACACTCTTGAAGCACAGCTTGTCAGGAAACATGCTGTGGATGCTATTGTTTTCAAAATATCATGTATCTGTATCATTTCTTTCATTTTTGTTGAGTTCATTACGCTAAAAAAAAAAAAACAAAGTTTGGAGAGTTTGGAGGAATCAGAAAAACAGGCTGGGTTTAATTTTTTGATTTTATTTCATGTCAGTGTGGCTGATAAACAGCTACCGTCTCTGAAGCTGATGTAAAGTACTGTAGTTATGAGAAAACACTGAACAGGATGTAAAATATGGCACATACTGTATCTGAATACATGACTCAGCAGCTCTCTGTGGTTTTATGGCTCTTTAACGCCGACTTCTTGCCGTAGAGCAGTAAATAAAATGTCAACAGTCTCATCTCCTGCGAAGAACACGAGAGATTTTTTATGAGCCTGAAAAGTCTTTTTAAAACCTGACAAGGACCAAACCCGAACACATCCGAGTCCAGAGAAAGTGTTCTTACAGGTTTGTCGGTGCTTCCAGTTAATTACCAAATATGCAACAAGGACTATGCAACACATGGAAAATGTTACCTGAATGTAAATGCACTACAAATAAAGACTTTTCTTCAGTACACTTGAGTTTCTGTATTTTTCATCTGTGCAGATAAAGAGGGGATTTCAGGGGAGCGGCCATGTTGGATCAATAGATAGTAGAGAGTTTTAGCCTTCTTTGTAAAATATATCCCTCAAGTAAACCTAAAAGTCACTCTACTCTTTTCTCAGCAACAAACCTGGAGACATGAATCGTCTACCGGCTGGTTTCTGTCCAAATACTGAGGACAGAAAAAAAAGGAAGAGGTGTGGACGGAGAGATTACAGTCTCTGCTTTCTCACCAACAGTGACACATCAGAAACATCCCACATCTAAAAACACATGAGAGTGTTTCATGTGAAGAAAATGCAGATACTGTTCTGCAGTGCAGCCACTCCTCCCATAGTTTGTCCTGAAAGTGTTGAAAACTGAATATCAGGACCTGGTCCAATAATAAGAGTCAAACCTCAGATCCACAACAATATTTTTGGTGGGACATCAGGCCCCAGGTCACAGCTATCCTCAGCGTTAACACAACCCTCTCAGAATTACATATAAATGACGATGAATTACAAAGAGGTTCTGAACACTTCAGAGGGTTTGAGTTCTGAGTCATTTTATACTATTAAAATCAAACTGGACATTTTATTGAGGCACAAAAAGACCCTTCAAAAAGCAGCTATCAATACGTTAATGTTATTCCATCAATTCACCCATGATTATGTGGAATATGGTACAAAATTTTTAGAATTATGAATGACTTCTTTTGTGCCTGTAAACATAGATGTGTAAGAAAACAAGCAAATGCATCTTTTTTTTATGAACTACAAATGCAAAAATAAATAAAGAGTGTAATGCATATATTAGGTAAGGGCCAATATTTGATAACATTGAATATTGCAATATTTCCCACCATATGCGATCTGAATCATAAAATACAATAATATAATCATATGCAACAACCTATCAGCGAACACCTGAGCCCTGAATCCCCAACTCGTCCAACAACAGCCTGAACGACGGGTCCGGGCCAAACATCAGGTCATCGACCAGATAACGATCGATCGGTGGTGAAACAGTTTCCTCCGACGCATGAAGCAGCAAGAAAACAGAGACACAGAGAAGTTCAGAAACAATTAACAGTCCTTCACAGGTCACTGAAGAGAGCAGCAGGTAGGAACTGATGAAATGTTGCACAAAATATGGAAAATACTGTACAACTATTTAAAACTCAGATATCACCTGTCAGGTAAGAGATTACTGGATTTACTCTGGAGTCACTGGAGTTTTAAAGTTTGTGCTGATTTGCGATACTGAGATTATGAGGTGACAACAAAATGTTGAGTCTTTGGGAAATAAGAAATAGTTTATACTTATAGCTAGGTGTAATTTTTTATCTTTATTCAGTGGAGTTTTGATTTGGCATCACAAGGCTGATAGTTGGAAGATTATTCTAATCCATTATTTTATTAATTTACTTATTTATTTGGTTTTACCAGGAAGGAATTAGCCAGGAAGTCTCTTGAGATACATTAACTGTGAACAGTAGTTAACACATGAATTAACATCATTCACATACATGCGGATGATGTTAATTCATTATGAGTACAGAGGAGGGAGTTTGATAATCTACAACAGTTATATTCCCCATGGAACATGTTTTGAAGATGGCGTTTGAAGGCAGTAAGTTATTCCAAACCCAGGGTGCAGAGAATGAATATGACTGCAACATCTGCAAACATTAAAACATTTGGTAATGTTTTGTTTTACAGGTCCCGTGTTTTCCAGATAATTTCCTGGAAACGTTTGTCAAATTTTCCAAAAATATTAGCTGGTATTTAGCTCTAAATTATTAAGATACTTGCAACGACCTTTCACCAGTAAGTCACATGACATCCCTCAAACCGGTCTGATGCAGACTGACATTAAGACATGAACTTGTAAAGACCATTTAGACAAATCAAATAAACTTGCTGCGACACAGTGATGGTTGAAAAGTTGTCGTTGTCAGGAAATTTATACTTTTCCTGCATATATATTTGCACTAATGTTAACAGGAAGTGGAAAATCACAAGTCTGCAGCAGCGTAGACGCACAGTCGGAGGATGTCGGAGGATGTGTACATGGATACAGAGTGGATAGGGTGAGGGTATCATGGACTGAGCCTTGTTTGTTTATTTGTCTTTGTCTTGTATTTGTCCAGAGCCGTCATGATGGCCACGCCCTTCCTGTCCTGCATTAACCTCTGTATCATCGTATCTTTCACCACCGGTGTCGCCTTGCCAAATACCGAGCCGCCGCTGATCCATGACCACCCCTTCGTGGCCATATGGAACGCCCCCACCGACCAGTGTCGACGACTCCACATTCCGCTGGACACCGAGGCCTTCCAGGCGGTGACCACGCCCGCCAACACGCCCGGTCAGTTCCTCACCATCTTCTACCAGGACCACCTCGGCCTCTACCCAATGGTCGACACCATCAAGCGCAAGCTCTACCAAGGCGGGATCCCCCAAAACGGCAACCTGACGGAGCATCTGGCCAAGGCCCAGAGTCAGATAGATCACTACATCTCCCAGGATTCCTCTCCTGGGCTGGCTGTCATCGACTGGGAGTCCTGGCGACCCCTGTGGGAGCAGAACTGGGGAATGAAGCGTATTTATCAGAGGCTGTCTATCACTCACGCCCTGCAGGTGGCCCCGTTTTTATCATCAAAACAAATTTACAACCTGGCCAAGAGCCAGTTCCAGCACGCCAGTCGGCGCTTCATGGAGAGGACCATCAGCCTGGGCAATGGCGAGCGTCCGAGCCGCCGCTGGGGTTTCTACCTGTTCCCTGACTGCTTCAACTACGGCTGGGAGAAGCCCAGCTACACGGGGAAGTGCTCCACGAAGACCCAGCAGCAGAATAACCAGATGCTGTGGCTATGGGAGCGCAGCACCGCCCTCTTTCCCTCCGTCTACCTCCACCCGACTCTGAGGAACTCCCCGCGGGCCGCACTGTACGTCCGCAACCGTGTCCAGGAGGCGCTGAGGGTGGCGGCGCTGCCTAAACGTCCGTATACAGTGCCAGTCTACGTCTACTCCAGGCCTCTGTACCGGGATCAGACACAGAAGTTCCAGAGTCTGGTGCGTCTGATTTGTCATGTTACTTGAAAACTAACGTTCGGTTCTTCAATTTAGACGAGTTCAGGTCCTTCTAAGATTTCAGGAGCCTGATAATTGGACTGAATGTCAATTTAGTTTCCCCTCTTCCTTCAGTATAACGTGGCGTCCTTGGGGGGAGTTAATTTTGCACAGCAGTGACTCACATATCTGTCTCGTCAACACAGAAGCTGAGGTCGTTTGCTCGAAACCGTTAAATTAACGTTTGTCAAATCAGCTGAAGAGATATGTTGAGTTATTATTTCTGTCAATCATCTCATCTCGAAAACGTTTGTGTGGCAATTTTTTGTGGATTATGAAACTTCTGTTATCAGGCCACTGATCGAGTTGAGTTGAAGTTGTGTTAATAAGGTTTCTTGTTGGCAGCTGACGCTTTAATCTTGGGTACAGTTTATTTTTTGAGTAAATAAATAACCTACATGATGATTATCTTCAATGTGACTGCTATTATCATGTGTTCATAAATGCAATGATTATTTTTGTACATGTCAACACATGTTAACACATGGAACAAACATGTTATTCTGCAAATGTCTAAATGTTTCCAATATACTGATATAATGAACAAGCTGCAATTAAAAATTAACAAAAAAGTAACAAAACTGCAGTTAAAAATTAACAAAAATTGTTTACATGAGTTGAGCCTGTTATACTAATTAACAATAGAACTCATTTAATTGCTTTATATTTCAGTTTTACATGGGATTTTCGCACATATTATATTTATAATTAATCAGAATATTTATAATCTCCTGACAAATCTCCTGTGCGTTTCGTCGTCTTCCAGATGGACCTGGTGAGCACTGTCGGGGAGTCTGCAGCTCTGGGAGCTTCGGGGGTCGTGATGTGGGGAGGAACCAAAGACTACAACAACAAGGTAACCACAGCCTCCTGAGGGTTAATCACTGGTTGGACTGGTCGGCTCCCAGTCGTTAAAGGACTTTTAAAGTGTCTGTGTGTGTTTGCAGCACTAACGCTCATGGGTCTGAAAACAGGAACACAGATGACCAGACGCAAATAACTCAACTGACTGTTTCCTGTTTTAGGAGGAAGTGACGGCTGTGACGCAAATGTATTTCTTATCTCTGCTGAAAGACGCGTGAAAAAACTATTTCAGCCTCAGAGGACTTTTCTGCTTTTTCATGCATCTTAATTTATTGTCACTTGCTTTTAGCTTTAGCCCACTGTTTTATTCTATCACTGTCCGGCTGAATTTTTATATATAGTAACATTCTTAGATTTATTATTTAGTTTGTTATAAATGAAAGGAAGAAAAAATACATCAAAAATCTACCTTTTAATTTATTTAATTTGATCTATTTTTTCATTTTATTTGCACTTTAATATTTTAACTTAACTTTTTACTTTTTAGTCATATTAAAGTTAAATGTTTTTGTACGCATTTCTACTAAAAAATAAAAGCCCAAATCAAAAATGAAAACTAAATTTCATGTTTTAAAATGTTAAAATTTCCCTGTTTTGTCTCAGTCATTGTTTTAATATCATCTCTCCCTGTATTGAATTAATTTATAGACTAAAGCTTTTCTTCCTGTCATAACATACCTGAGTCTCACCTGTAAACCCCGCCCCCTCCCTGCAGGCTGCCTGTCAGTCTCTGTCCGAGTACCTGTCGTCCACCTTCAACCCATACATCGCTAACGTGACGGCGGCCGCCATGCTCTGCAGCGAGGTCCTGTGCCAGGGGAAGGGCCGCTGCGTCAGGAAGACGTACGACTCCTCCCATTACCTGCACCTGAACCCCGCCTACTTCAGCCTCTTGCGGGCGGACAGGAAGTACGTGGCGATCGGTCTACCCTCCGCTACCGACCTCAACGCCTGGGCTGAAAACTTCACCTGTCAGTGCTACGCAGGGTCGAGGTGTTCCCCAAACCTGGTGCATCCGACCAAAATCAAACTCATCTGGGTTTAATCAGAGAGGAGAGTAAAATGTCTCCTGAGGTGTCCGCTGATTATGATCTTCGTGTCATTCATGCAATTAAAACAACAATTTGTAATTTCATTAAACTCTGTCTAGATTACAGCAGCCATGTGTGTTTATTTAAAAAACAGAAAATGTTTATTCTTACCACAATCAGACAACAATTTTAATTGTTTGTACAATAATTTAATTTAATTTAATTAATTTAATTAATTGTACAATTGACTTGGCTTAATAAATACTTTGCAACAATGTTTTGCATTTTCTTTGGTTTGACTGACAAACTGCACTAAAAAAAATATTATTAAGAGGAGGGAGACAAAGGCCACCGTAGATTCTTCTAGATACTTACGAGGCGTGGCGAACTAAATAAATACGTGGTGCTAGGGGAAGGATATTCAGCTGGTTGCAGTCTGGAACCTCACCACTAGATGCCGCTAAAATCCTACACACTGGTCCTCTAAATTACTCTGCACAGACAGGTCAGACTAAAATCGTCTACGACACTGACGAAACAACAAATCAAAGTCAATGTGCCCACAAGTCTGAGACAAGTCCGAGTCAAACCCCCCCCCATGACAACAAGACAAGTCTGAGATAAGAGAAATACTAGAAACATCAGTCACACCATCAGAACTTAACATTTTAATAAAATATTAAGGATCAAACCGAAGTATGAAGGTAGTTTGACCTTTTGTTTGACCTTATCGGTCTGAACTCTGCCCTGGTTCTGCTGTTGTTGCCCTCTTCTGTTTTTTTGGCCGGATGCCGGAGGTGAGCAGGAAACATAAAATCAGTATCAGGAGTAACAGACCTCTCTCGCCGCAAACACTTTGACTTGTCTTAGCAAGAAATGTTCTGTTACAATTAATGACATTAGTGATGGATCCTTTCCATTTGGGTGTGTTACAACTACAGCATGTACAACAACAAGGTCCTGGCAGTGGCACATCTGAATAATGTTCAGACATTATGTCTCAATTTGATCAAATTAAAGAGCTGTTGTCTTAATTCTGCTGATGTGTGGGAAAGAATAGGGAGCTTTGGGGCAGGGTGGGGTCAAGGATCGGTCAACGTACATAGAGAACAGTGAACGAGTGCATGAGTGATCATTTGTCATCCAGGGTTCAAAACGTTGTTTTTCAAACCTCTGTCTGGTCTTGTTGACACCGTGGCTTTTTAATGTAGTTTATGAAGGACAGCCTGAAGAGGAGGCTACGACGCTGAGCGAGCTTTTCCCGGGAGACGTGGTCAGACTCGCATGGGATTCAGACCTCAGCCAGTTGCAAATGCCTGTAAGGCATGACCTCGTTCTGAAGAAAATAAATCAGTCAAAAGGTCACGCATCTCCAGACCTTCCTGCAAGCTAACGGTGACGCATCCTGATACATGTCACGTGTCAATTCCAGGTGTTAAAAGCACCAAAATGTCAGTGCAACTTGGGGTCAAAGTTCAACATATTTGTTTTTGCTCTATAAGTTCACCACACATCAGTGAAGGGGAAAAACACACAACAACAATGGCGGAGATCACATGACCACTGCTGTGTCTCAACTCAGGGGGACTTCCTGTTCGAAGGCTGCATCTGAAGACGGACTGCGTCACATTCATTCATTCACTCTTACATCCATCTTCTAACATGACCCTGGTATTTAGATCCTGTGCTTGTTAATGTTACACCTTTATGTCCTCTTGGCTTTTATTTTGACTTTTTTTTACACTTCACTTCCTCTTCCTGTCTGTCCACCGTTCTACTGTTTCTCGCCAACGTGAAATGAAAAAGTGAATTTGTAAAAACCAAAACTGGACTGTTTTTTTTTAAATTTTGGTTTTCTGGCTTTTTGTTTGCAAAACCAAAAACGAACAGATCATGTGATTTAGTTTTTTGTTTAGAATTAAAATGAAACAAAATGATAAAAGAAATTGCCAAAAATCAAAAACGGATCATTTTGATTTTGGTTTTTCATTGTTTTGATTCTGACACCAAAAGTGTTTTTTATGTTTTGTTTTTTTTATGTTTTTAAATTACAAATTAATTATGGATTATTTGATGATACACAAACAAAAACAGAGCTGTTTTTCTTTTTTCAAAAAACAAGAACATCAAATTTGAAGAAACGGTCCAATTCTGGTGTTTACAAATTCCTTTTTTCTTCAATTTTTCCTTCATGAACTGAAGACTGAAGAAAGGTAGTCAGGTGAAAGGTAAAGGTAAATATTTCAAAATAAAAGCCAAAGAGGATATAATGGCCATTCTATAAAGTGTAAAACACAAGCACAGACAGAAAGATAAAGATGTATTTTTTTGCTTTGCATTAAGACATGAAACATATTTTTTGAATTAATGGCCTAATTAATTAATATGTGGAAATAAACTGTGTGGTCCTTCTCAGATAGTGTTTTCTAAAGTTTCCCACAGAGGCGCCCATGTGAAAAATATGTATTGCATAAATTTGCTACCCAGTTAAACAATCTTTAAAAGAAAAGAAAAATAACTCGCTACAGTGACTCTAGTGATTTTGTGTGAACTGACAGTAAGCCATTCTTCTGGCTGAGTCAGAGTTAAACCTCTTTAGACACTTCCTGATAAAATCCAGTAGAAAAACCAGTTGATATTATTCTGTTTTCCAGCACAGGTTGATAACGTGTGATTCAACCGGCAGATCCAGCTCTTTATATGATTCATCGCTCTGATGATGAAACCAGGTGGATTTCCTTCAGCTCAGTACATTTCCAACCACAGCTGACCAAGTTCAAACTCTCACTCTCACATTCCTCTGCGTGTCCGGACAGAGGCCTCAAATATGAGTGGCAGGGTGTCCACACATTGCCCTCATCCCGGAGCTTCCTCAGATATCTTCTGTCCGAGCAGGATCGAGGGAGTGCGCCCTCAGCCGAGGGAAACATCAGGACATCCCAGAGAAAACCAGAACACCTGAGGGCTGCCAATCTCTGACAAGTTTCCACAGGTGTTCAAGCTCCTGTAGCAGCTTATTTAAAGAGCAGCTGTTTAGACTCCCAGAGGAGAGTGAGGGTAGTGTTTACGACCAACAGGTAGTAATTTCAGGATCTCACTGAGCGAGCAGTTTGGACGGCGGGAAGTTGGACCCCAAAGCAGGTTGGTGCTCGGTTAAAGACGTCTCGTTTAACTGTCTCATGTGGGTCCAAAGGTTTACTGGTGTTTTACAAAAAGTTTAACCGAGGTCGAGTTCAGAAAACACAGAAATCATAAAAGTGTCAGGCTGTACGGTTGCATGTAATCTGCCTGGAGACAAAGATACTGCAGTTACACATCAGATCCTGTGACCTCATAAAGATACTAATGTTAACACTGTGCAGAGTGTAAAACTGTCAGAGCAGACAGTCTGTCTTATACTGTTAGTCCATACTGTTGGTCAGGCAGCAGAGCAGGTGAATGAAGGTGTAATCAATCAATCAATCAATCAATCAATCAATCAATCAATCAATCAATCAATCAATCAATCAGAAAAGACAGTAAAATAATAGGCTGTATAAATGCTCCAAAGTGCAGATGAGACAGTGTTTTCTCCCACACAGATTTAACCGCAGGAGACTGTGAACTATAATTAGAACAAAGTGAATCTGTTGCATCTGTAACGTGTCTGGTGCCAATTTGCTCTTTGTGTTTTCAGCCTCATGGAAACAAGAGAGTCGATATTATCAGACACCGATACCAGAATCACACCACAGCATCTGCACAGATGTTGGCTGATGGGGGAAAGTGAATAACACGCATAAATAAATAAATAAATAAATAAATAAATAAATAAATATCAGCCATGTGTTCTGCTGACCAACTAGCTGCAGCTCAGTCAAGTCACATCACATGTTGAGATATATTTTAAACTTTTAACTTTGAATCTATTTAGTGATTAATTGTCATTGATTCTGAGTGTGGAGCTACATCTGCCTTCCTCTCTCTCTCTCTCTCTCTCTCTCTCTCTGCTGTTCTCAGGTCTGTCTTGTAAAATAAATCTTGACCTCAATAAGATGAACCTGATTAAGAAAAGCTTACATTTAAATGTTAAACCCATTTCATATGCATTTAAAATAAATAGGTAAACAGGTGACGTGAAACAAACAATGAAAATAAAAGCAGTCATGTGGTCATGTTAACATTAGGGGAGATTTAAAAGCAGTTGTAGATGGTCTTCTGCACTTTTTGATATTTTTTATATAAATATTTGGTCATGTAATTAAATGTCAGAGCTGAGATTATGATCTGGCAGCTGTCTGAGCTCGTCTCCAGGCTGTTACAGTAAGTTTAAAGAGTTTATTAGTTTAACTTTATTTGGTGGTAATGTGTTATCTGTTATGTTTTTTTGTTTTTTTTGGCCAGAATACTGTTATTACTCTATTCGCATCATGGTGGAAAATCTTATTGTAAAGGGAAAGATTTATACCATCATACATGTGCTCTCATGAAACCTTGTATTAATCCCTCTGTAGCTGATAAACTGTTCATGACTGTGGTAAAGGAGAAGGAGATTTCCACAACATCATCTCTTCATTTTCAAACAGCAGAAGTTGATATTTTTCCCAGTCTTTAATTAAATGCTGAGTCTGTTGCATTTGCCCGACAGAGAATCTCTGCTGGAGCTGCTGCTTCTCAGGCGGGAATGTAGTTCCCACTGACATTTCACTTTTTGATTATCAGGAAAAATTCAGCAGCTTTGTTTCGTTGCTGGTTCGTTGCTGCCACGAAATGAGAACAACACGGTCACAGTCTGAAGCAGCTGACGTGAAATATTTCATCTGTTATTATGCAACAAAGGAAAATCCAAAACATTACTGAGTCAGCTCTTGGTCCTCAGGATATTAAAAACACATAAATCTTCCTGAAGTCGGGACATTTGGTGCCGTGTCACTGCTGTCGTGAAAATACCTTCCAGCTCCATGTCTTCACTGAAACTAGTACTAGTAACTTTTCTTAAAATAAATACAATAAAATTGTAATAAAAGGTTTACAATTCAGAAATATAAAATTAATGTGATTCAATAATTAAACTGAAAAGATTGTAGAGGTAAATCTGTTTTATACTTTTGTTCTAACCTCAAATTTATTAATAAAAGTGAAGTTAATAATATAATAACTGCCATTAGGCGATACAACACAACAACACCTCCGCTGAAGGAAATGGACTAATCTAAATATTATTGTTCATTTGTTATTAACTGTTTTTATTATAATGGACATATGAATTTCCCCTGGGGAAATTCATGAAACAAAGTAAAACTAGTAAACGATAAACTGAAAAATGAAAATAAAAAATAAAATAAAATAAATTTTAAGTCATGTTCATTTATCAACTGATTGGTATTAAAGGGAAAAAATTTAAGCTTTTTGCTTTAAAAAAAAAAGTATTTAAAGCTGTAGGTCTATTCCTTTTGACTCGACTTTAACCCAACTAATAATATTATTTACTGATGAACTCAGTTTTATTGTTAAATAGTCTGATAAACCTTCACTACATTTTGTATCATTATCGTGATTAAAAAAAACCATCTGCAGTATCTTTAAGTCACAGTTTGATGAGCCATGTGAAATTCAGTTCAGTGGGTAGATGTGTTCGGTCTTTGGTCAAGCTGCTTCTGATGACCGACAAGTCGGTAGAAACACAGGTGTAAACAGTAAAATCATGATTACTGAATCTCATTCAGCTTCACTTTAAAAAACAACAAGGAAAAACACAAAATTTGTTGCCACGACGACGTCAGAATGCAACATTTAAACTCAAAATGTGCTTTCCTGCTGCTTTTTCATCTTTGCTAACGCCTCAAACATCTGCTCTCTCTTCACGTTGAACCAGGTAAGCTGCTCAACAGGTGTCAGGCCATCACCCTCTCTGCACATATACAACCAGCTTCAAATCCTTCACGTCTGTAAAGATTCCAGCTCTGCACAGTTTCACGCTCTTTTTCATTAGCTTCAATGTAGAAACAGGACTGAGAGTCTACGACCACGCTAGCAGCTCTGCGAGGTCGACAATGCTAACATGCTGTGATGCGTAGCAGGTATGACATTTACCATGGTCACCGACCAACCAACACTGTCATCCACAAAGCTACTAGCTAGCATGGCTAAAAATAATGTCCTGTGAGTTTGAAGAAATCGTCAGCACAACATGAGACTGTAATAAGAGCTTTATATGTGTTCAAATTAACTGAACTGAATTGAATTGGTGACAATTAGTTTGTTGTTGTGAGAACTTTGACAAAAGTAGAGAGTAGAGTTTGAGCTACAACTCTGAAAGTAGGAACAGAAGGAACTTATTTGGACCTTAATTTTTCCGATGTTTGCGTTTGCTTTCCCTCACAGATCAGATCCAAAATGAACCGAGTCAAACTGCAGTTCTCCGTCTTCATCACCATGTTGGCCTTGCTGAGCTCCGGCCGGGCCTTACCCAGGACGGACCCTCCCATCCGTCCCGGTCACCCCTTCCTCTTCATGTGGAACGCCCCGACCGAGCTGTGCGACATCCGCTTTGCCATGCCCCTCGACCTCTCCTACTTCCACTTTGTCAGCAGCACGCTGAAAACGGCGACCAACCAGAGCATCTCCATATTCTACACCGACCGCTTCGGCATCTTCCCTTACGTGGACGAAGACACGGGGGAGATGTACGACGAGGGTCTGCCACAGCTGATAGACCTGCAGGAGCACCACGAGCTGGCCGAGGACGACATCGAGTACTATATCCCCGGTGACCAGCCAGGCCTCGCTGTGCTCGACTTTGAGGAGTGGAGGCCGCAGTGGGTCCGAAACTGGGGCAGCAAAGACATCTACCGTCAGATCTCCATCGAAACGGTCAAGAAGAAAAATACGACATTGTCCGACAACGAGGCGGAGGACCGGGCAAAGATTGTGTTTGAACGCGCCGCCATGAGGTACTTCCTCCGCTCCATCCGCATCGGGAAGAGGCTGAGGCCCAACAGACTCTGGGGCTACTACTTGTACCCCGACTGCTACAACTACGACTACAACCAAGACATGGCGGGCTTCACTGGAGAGTGCCCTGCCATCGAGAAGGACAGGAACGACGAGCTGCTGTGGCTCTGGAGAGACTCCACGGCGCTCTTTCCCTCCATCTACCTGGAGCTGACGCTCAGGGACTCCCAGCAGGCCCGGCTGTTCGTTCGCCATCGAATCCAGGAGGCCATTAGGGTGTCATCACTCCCCAACAGCTCCTACTCCATCCCTGTCTACGCTTACATCCGCCCAGTGTATAAGGACAGCATCGACGACTACATGTCAGAGGTCAGAAACGCAGGTTTTTGTCACCTTTAGGGCACAATGTATATGTTAATGTTTAGGTGTTTCTGAAGCAGCATCTTGATTCAAGTCATTTAAAAAACCTCGTTAGAGTTTACAGTTTTCATGTTGGTTATTTATCGTAAGGTTATTTTAGTTTTGATCGTCATTGTTGGGGTTTATCAATGCACATGACTGTGTTGGAGCCCATTTCCTGCTCTTCTCTGATTGGCTGGCTGTCATTTTTTCGCAGTTTGATCTGGTCAACACCATCGGAGAAGCCGCTGCTCTTGGCGCCGCTGGCGTCGTTTCCTGGGGCGACATGAACGTCACAGATACTGAGGTACAAAGTGACGTCACTCTGTAGTTTCTGGGAAGGTTTGAAATGTATTTGTCTGTTTGCAACTTTACTTAAAAACAACAGACTGACTCAACATCCCACAATCCTGTAGGACTCCTGCTTTGACGCTCGACGTCACCTGGAGCAGGTCATGAACCCGTACATCGTGAACGTCTCCACGGCCACGCATCTCTGCAGCCAGGCGCTCTGCCAGGGCCGAGGTCGCTGTGTGAGAAAGCGCTGGGACGATGACGTCTTCCTGCACCTCGACCCGCATCGGTACCGGATCCAGAGGCAGCGGCGCGGTGGCCCGCTCACCGTGAGCGGCGGCCTTTCACAGGACGACATCAACTGGTTCGACCGCAGCTTTGACTGCATGTGCTATAGCGAGGAGCCGTGCAGGTCGCCGCTGACCATCAACGTCATCCAAGAGGCCGTCTTCACCAGGAGGAGTCGAGGTGCTGACAGGCCCCGCCCCCTCCCGCTGGTCATGACACTACTCTGTCTGACGTATGTCTGGATCAATATCTAACCAGCACAAACCTGATACATGTGACGCAGGATGTAAAAGGACAATTACACGGTTATTTCAGCTTCTTTGTGTCTCGTATTTCTGACTGTGTTTTAATTATTTTGAATTCAATATTTTAAATTCAGTTACATTCATGGCTGGATGAACCTGTTAGAGGAGGTCTGTAGTTATTATCATTAAATAGTAACTTATCTCATCGTATGAACCTTGATGTCAGGTGGTTTCACCAGAGAAGGAAGCCTGGTATTAAGTTTTATCATCGTTATAATAACAATAACAACAACAATAATAATATTATTATTATGCCACCAGGAGATTGACATGTTTGGGTCAGATTGAAATGTGTTTTAAGTGATTGGATTAGTTGCCATGAAATTCTGTTCAGACATTCGCGTCGCCCTCAGGAAGAACTGTAATAACTTTTCATCTGGTGCCATCGTCAGGTCTAAATGTTGCTGCGTCAGAATCAAAGCGACTGAACGAATCCAGAAGTTTTAATGTCAGGACATAAAGTAAGGGCTTATTTACTGGATAACAATTTAACAAAATAGTTGAACTTACAGAGTTAAGAAATATGGATGTAGTTAAGGGTTGTATCACGTCTCAGGAAGTGCATGTGGTTACACTAAAATGTCGCCTCTGGATATTTTTCTTCCCTGCCATCAAACAAGTGAGAGATGGCCGAAAGCCAGAGAATAAACATTTGGTTCTAGTTTATTTGAAGCAGTACTGTGATGTCTTTTTGTCCCTGAAGGGAAGAAAAGCCTGGACAAAAAACAAAACAAAACCACCTATAAATCTAAGATGAATTTTACCTTCCATGAGATTCCAATTTGAATTGTTGTTGTAAAGCATAATTAATCTTGCTGCCCGTGAGGGCTGTTGGATTTTATCTTCAGCTCATCTCTCGTTCTAGATTCCTTTACATCACACATTTGGTCGCTAGTGGGCGCACTGAAGGAAGACAGTGTGTGTGTGTGTGTGTGTGTGTGTGTGTGTGTGTGTGTGTACCTGTTCTCCTGCTGCAGTAGGTAGACACCATCAGCACGGTGGAGACGCAGTACACACAGACGACCACTAGATGGCAGAGAGAGAGAGGGACAGTGGTGGAGAGGGAGGAGGACCTGCGGAAGAAACCAGGAATCCAGTGTTTTCATTATGAAATTTCCTCTTTGTGTTATTATTCCTCCACAGGAAACACTGACTACACATACATATATACACACACACACACACACACACACACACACACACACACACACAGGGAACTTGGTATTGTAGATTCTGTCACTTTGGACAATCCCTGACTTGTGTAACTGTTTAGGATGTTTCAGAGAGGATCTGCTGCCATGACTGAGTTTATCATGTTATTCTTTTACATTCCTCGTATTATGAGGAAATATTTATTTTAGAAGGTCAACAGTTCCTGAAAGTTGATTGTCTTTGAGGTAAATGAATAAAACATAACACACTCATGTGATTCATTCTTTTAGTCAAAAGATATTTGGTGTCAGGCTTCATCTGTAAAAGCTATGTGGAGGTTTTAATGTTCAGGCTTCTTCAATGTACAAAAACACACGGACACGCACAACAAAACCCCACGACTCGACAAGTATTTTTCCTGGGAAACAGAAGCTGATTGTGAATGAATTGATTCAACCCTAACTTGGATGAGGAGCGGGATTAGAGAGAATAAATTATCATGTATAATAGGTGGGTGTGTTGGAGGATGTGACACTTGTGGCCAATCACATTTGCAACTTCCATCCCCTTTAAACACACTCGCTCCCTCTCTCTCTCTTCTGATCCCACAGCCCAGACACTCCAACGCTTATCAATGATGTGGTGCTAAACTGTGGTGATGATGTGTTCAGGTGTAATCGGAGACCGGAGGATTGTATCTGACACACACACAAAAAAAAAAAAAAAAATTACAGCTGATATTAAAATCAGAGTTTACCTCAGCTGTGCTGCAGGAGCTCCCACTCACAGTCTGAGTTGCAGTGTGTGTTGTTGTCCTGCAGGGGGAGGCAGAGCTCTGTCAGGTTTGTGATGATGTGTTCAATGAAACAGACAATCTATCTTTGCACTTACACGTCCTCAGGTTTTTTACGTGCAGGTTTGAGATTGATGCTGAAACATGATCAATAACCAAAAACACTGAATAATGATTTTATTTTCTTTCATATTAAAATCATAATTCAAATAATCAACAGAAACCACAGGAACAAAAAACCTGGCCTTTCTTATCTGAGGAGAACTTAAACACAAGTGGAAGACAATAAAAAATAAATAAAAATCATGTGCACATCTGAGAACACAGCAGGGAGTCTGTGGCCAAACAGGTTCACAACAGGTGTGGCAATCACTTATATATTGTCTATTATTGTATATTTATAATCACCATTATACTGCATTAGTTTCATCCAGGTTCACCTAATACATATGAATTAAAACTAAGAATCAAGGACACTTGAATTTCTCAAGCAGATTTACAAAGGTTGATCATACTTATGGACCACTTATACCACTGTATATAAACTAACACGATACTGAGAGGTGTTCCTAATATTTTGTCCATCCCATTTATAGGAATTAGATTGGACAAAATATTAGGAAGTTACAGTTACAATCACAGCCTCTACAATGACCATTAAAATAAAGCAAAACTTCTCAAACAGATTCAGTAAATACTGAACATTATAATCCTCATGAAGGAGGATTTACTGCAGGCCTGTTCCATTATACTGCATTAGTTTCATCCAGGTTCACCTAATACATATATATGAATTAAAACTAAAACTCAAGGACAATAACAAATGTTAAAACAAATCAGCCCTTTATTTGAAGTTTACCCAATATACTGCAACGCTTAATAAAATGGATTCCGTTGAACAGAATGGTGATGGGGTTAATGGGGCAGAAATAAGTGACTGCAGATTGCCTTAAAAAGGTTCACTGTGTAACTGGTGCTAGACGTCCTGAACAGTCCGTCTCATCTTGTAACACCACTTTGTTCCACAAGAGGCGATAGTGAGTCACTGTAGCGCCATAAACTTATCATATAACTTACTAATAGAACTTGAGGTTCAGGAGAAACTGATGACCTGTGATGTGATGGCCTTAGTTTTCTCAACCGATGCCCATCCATCCACTGCACCACAGCACATGATGTAAGCTGCAAGAATAAAAGAAAGCACACATTAATTCTTACATACAGTAACAGCATTGTGACCAATGGAAACTATTTACAACATTTTTACCAGGGAAACAGTCAATACTTTTTCAGCCGTAGCCACTGTCCACTACCTCTCAGCAGCAAACAGCAGACAGACACGGTCCGAGAGCAGCTGCTGAACATAGTGGAGCATTAAGAAGCTAAAGAGACAGATTTCCCTCAGGAGCTGGTGGAGACCAAACACAGAGCTAAAAGAGAGGGAACACTGGACTGAGATCATCATGAGACATCAGGTGACACCAACACCACTCCAACTGCAACAAATGAGATATAATAATTATAAAGAATTTCAATTAAAAGTTATCAATGAAGATAGAAAAAGTTTTCCTCCTGTCTTCTCTTCATCTCTTCCCTCCACAGTCTTTCCACCAACAGTCACACAGTGCGACACACCTGCAATGTGAGTGAGGTCAGTGTCAAACCTTCTGGGTTGGATGCACTTGCTGGAGGAGGCAGACCCCTGCTGGAGGGCCCAGGCTGCTCCTCCAGGACACTGAAGTTAAAGGGCTGTCCTTGTCCCACCTGTACCAATGAGTCTGGCCAGCACCTGAAACACAAACACAAACAGACTGTTTTAAGATTTTCAGCTTCCATTAAAAGATAAATCACAGAACAGATTACTACACACCAACAGCTTTATGACAAACTCTTACCACTGAGTCAATTCAAAGAGCTGGATGTTGGTTCTGAGCCATCAACCTCTGGCTGGCCAGCACTGTCTCTCTAATGGCCACATAATCTTTGAGAATGAATGACCACCGAGTCCTCACGGTCACTCTGGACCACGTGGCCACTGGGTGAAGACGGCAGAGCTGGTTGCAAATGGCCTCCACCAGGCGGCTGAAGACAGCTGAAAGATAAGATCAGAGAGCAGTGTGTGTTAATATAGATCTGATATTCATTAGAGGAAACTGATATTTGAAGTGAATCTCACCTCTAGAGACTCACCTTCCCAGGACAGGAGGCGTTCTTCCCTGTCGCTGCCTTGAACTGTCACCTGGGCTGCCTCTCCTGGTATCTGGGAGGGAAGACAACTTGCTGTTCCTCCTGCTCTGTCTGCCAGGTGTTGCCAGGAGCTTGGAAGTACTTGGCACTGGCTTGAAGAAAAAGGTTTTGGACCAAAAGTGAATTTTATGTTTGAATTAAATGATAATACACAATATACTTGATCACAAGCTATGAGACACACGCATGTACATGGGATGAAGTGGTTAAGGTGGAAACCAGAGGGTTGACTCTGCCCTTTGTCAGCCTACGAGTCTCTGTGTACAGCTGCACACCTGGTGAGTCCCGAAAGCAGCCGAGGTGTCGCCTGTGTCTCCATATGTCCTGGATGCAGAGAGAATCCAGCAAATAGACGTCCAGGGTGACGTATAGATCCTGGATGAGGAGGTCCGTGTCCTCTGCCCTATGTGTCCTCCACCTTGGCAACAGTCAGGCCGAGCATTCTGCACTTCCTCTCCAGCTAGGACCGCTATATCTCAATGAGACGGCAGGCAATCCAGCAGCCGTCCTGGAAAGCCAACACACCAACATTGGTAACCCAAGCAGCTGTTTCAGAAGCAGCACCGGCAAGCTTCTTTGTCACCAAATAAAAAAAGTTAATACTAGCTGCTAATGCTATCTGCTAATGCTAGCAAGCTAGCCCCCACCCCCCTATGTTCTGCTTGTCTGTTTTTTTCCCCAATAACGAATTAAAAAAGTTAATGCTAGCTGCTAATGCTAATGCTAGCAAGCTAGCCCCCCCCATGTTCTGCTTGTCCGTTTTTTTCCCCAATAAAGAATAAAAAAAAAGTTAATGCTAGNTGGCTGTTGGACAGATCAATCAGTTAGACATACAGTGCATTTTTAAAATGTATTATTCTGAAGATTCTTATAAATCATTAAATTCATTCATCAATGAACAATGCCAGCAAGCTACCTGCTAATGGTAGCGTTACTGAAAATGGGGGGCAACGCTATGTACTGTACGTGCAGACATTGTTATTTTTACAAGTATAATTATTATTTTTACTATTTGTCATTATTATTAAATACAATCACAAACAAAATGTCAGGTTATATACACTTTGTCACTTGTCTATCTTTGTGGTTAAACTGTCTTCTGTGTTACCTTCTGTTTGTCATCAATAAAGATATAAAAAATGCTAATGCTAGCTATCACCCCACTTGTTATTTTGCATTGTTATGAAATTATTGAAGTCATTCATCAATGAACAATGCCAGTAAGCCAGCTGCTAATGCTAGAGCTAATGAAAATGGGGGGGTCTATATAATGTACCCGCACACGTACTTTGCCGCATTACCATTTATGTATTGTGTATCATTGTTTGCTTGTCCATGTTTTTTTCACCAATAATGGGGGAAAAAAATGCTAATGCTATCTGCTAATGCTAGCAAGCTAGCGCCCACCCCCTGTGTTCTGCTTGTCCATGTCTTTTTCCCAATAAATAAAAAAAGTGAATACTAGCTGCTAATGCTATCTGCTAATGCTAGCAAGCTAGCCCCCACCCCCCTATGTTCTGCTTGTCTGTTTTTTTCCCCAATAACGAATTAAAAAAGTTAATGCTAGCTGCTAATGCTAATGCTAGCAAGCTAGCCCCCACCCCCTACGTTCTGCTTGTCTGTTTTTTTCCCCAATAACGAATTAAAAAAGTTAGTGCTAGCTGCTAATGCTAATGCTAGCAAGCTAGCCCCCACCCCCTACGTTCTGCTTGTCTGTTTTTTTCCCCAATAACGAATTAAAAAAGTTAGTGCTAGCTGCTAATGCTAATGCTAGCAAGCTAGCCCCCACCCCCTACGTTCTGCTTGTCTGTTTTTTTCCCCAATAACGAATTAAAAAAGTTAGTGCTAGCTGCTAATGCTAATGCTAGCAAGCTAGCCCCCACCCCCTACGTTCTGCTTGTCTGTTTTTTTCCCCAATAACGAATTAAAAAAGTTAATGCTAGCTGCTAATGCTAATGCTATCTGCTAATGCTAGCAAGCTAGCCCCCAGCCCTTTTCCCCAATAAAGAAAAAAAAAATGCTAATGCTAATGCTAGCTGCTAATGCTAATGCTATCTGCTAATGCTAGCAAGCTAGCCCCCAGCCCTTTTCCCCAATAAAGAAAAAAAAAATGCTAATGCTAACGCTAATGCTAACGCTAATGCTAACGAAAACGGCGGCTAGCTCGCGCCCCCCCAGCACAGGCATTGCGCCCAGCAAGCAGAGCTAACGCCG